TCTTTTACCTGCTATTGAAGTTTTTATCACTGAGATTCATTTTGAAAATGCCACCTTATTCCAGCTGCTTGTGGAAAAGGCTAAATAAGAAGCCTACCTTGGGGCTGGAGATGTGGCTCAAGTGGTAGCGTGCTCACCTGGCATACATGAGACACTGGGTTCAATTCTCAGCACCACATAAAAATAAAGATTTTTAAAAAATGGTCAAGATGGTAAATTTTTTAAAAAAAGCAAAAGCCTGTCTTACTGCTATCATTCTTATGAACAAAACTGTTTCTATATCATTCAAATCATGGCTTTGGCTTGCAGCTGCACAAATAGACTCTATAAGCTTTCCATGATGTGGGGGTTACATCAGCCATAAAATCAGGATTTACCAACACTGATCAGAATCCATACTTCTGCTGCAGACAGGTATGTTATATATCAGGATTCTGACAAATACTCCACTTTAATCTTTATATGGAGACACTCAATCTTAGGCAACAAGCATGGTTCTGTGTCTCTCTCCTCTCCCTGAAAGCAAGTCCTACTGTACTCTTTTGATAGTTAGAAAGACATGTCTAACAAGTCTTACCAAACTCTACTGTCAATGCCATAGTCCTATTACTTTCTAATTTAGAATGTGACTTAACACTTTCCCCAAAAATGTCAGCCTGAGTTTCAGAAAATGATACAAAATTTTAGTAACTGAAAGACAACTTAGAGAACTTGTATAAACGAGCAAACAAACTGGGATAAAGATAACCCCAGAGTATATGCAGAACTCAGTGGATACTAGATATCATAGACTAAACCTGACTCAATTCCTGGGAGGGCCAATTTTATGTAAGTATTTCAGAATATCAGTTTAACTGGTAAACAAAACACTGTGCACTGATGTGTTAAAACAAATAAATCATATGGATTAAAATGCAAAACTCAAGGTGGGAGGCAAGGGAAAAATGAAGGAACTTTGGGCAAAGGGGAGGGAAGTTGGGGAGGAGGTATGGGGGCAGGAAAAATGGTGGAATAAGATGTACATCATTACCCTAGGAACATGTATGACTGGACATATGATGTGACACTACATCATGTATAACCATATAAGTGCAAAGTTGTGCTGCAATTGTGTACAATGAATCAAAATGTATTCTGCTGTAATATATACCTAATTAAAATAAATAAATTTTAAAAAATACCCCCCAAAATGCAAAACTCACATGAATTTTAGGATAAAATATTTTTTTACTTCTGCATCTTAGAGTCTTATGCTCTTAAAGAGAATCAAGCCAGGCACGGTGGTGCATACCTGTAATCCCAGACGGTGAGGCAAGATTACAAACTCAAGACCAGCCTGGGCAACTCAGCAAGACTCTGATCAACATAAAAAAAAGGGCTGAGGATGTGGCTTAGCGGTAGAGTCTCCTGAGTGCAATCCCCAATCAAAGAATGACCAGATACAGCAATCCACTTACATGAAAAGGACATGGTAATCATAATGATAACCACCATTTATCAAGCACTTACTGTATTCTAGACACAGTGGTTTGAGTCTTACATGGTTTATCTCATTTAGTCCTCATAATGCTATCAGGCAATTTTAATAATATAGTTCTTTCCAGTAAATACATGAGGAAGCAAAAGGTAAAATAACTTTCCACATTTGCCCAGCTAGTAAATGGCAGAATTGGTGTTTGATCCCCAGGCTGTATGGTTTCAAAGCCTATGACCTTAATTGCTGCCTGAGAAGCTTGAAATTGAGGCACAGAAAATCTGATTAGTCTTGAACTGAAAGATATTTAATCAAATCATGTATCTTTCTGTTACTCAAGTTTTCTCAGAGGCGAAAGAAGAACAATGCTTATTCCTTTCTTCATCCTGATGAGGATCCAGAAGCTCATAGATCTATACAAACAGCATCCTATTTTAGAGCTAAAAAAATATGGCTACAGAAAAACATGTATGAGTATTAATGACAATTTTATTCACATTAGCCAAAATATGGAAATTACCCAAATGTCCATTGGCTAGTAAATGGATAAACAAAATATGTTATATATACACAACAGAATATTCTTCAGCTATAAAATGAAATTAAGTACTGATATATGCTACAACATGGATGCATACTGCAAATATGATTCTAAGCTAAAAACGTCATGTGCACAAGGTCATCCATGTACAATTTCAATTATATGAAATGTACAAAATAGGCAAATCCATAGAGACTGCAGGTGGATTAGTGGTTGTCAGGGTTAGGACGTGAGGGTTCTGGGTAATAAGGAATGAGAAGTGACTGCTCATGGGTGCAGGGTTACTTCTGGGGGAAGGTGAAATGTGCTTTAATTAGATAGTGGTGATGACTGCAAAACTCTGTATATATAGCAAAAAAAAAATCACTGAATTTTTCACTTTTAAAAGGTGAGGATTATGGTGGGTGTGTGAATAAAGCTCAATAAAGTTATTAAAAAATATTTTAAAGAACAATTAGCCAAAATAAATGTAAAAATACTTTGGATGAAAGTTTCACAAACATATTATACTACATTTTAAATATTACACAATTCATGCTTATAAAAATACATCATATACACTGCACAAAAGCATGGCCTTCTACTATCTCTGCTTGGCTGCCATCTTGTCCTAGGAGAATCTTAATTCACTTCAAAGTACTTAACTCCTCTAGTTCCTGAATACCTGGTTAATAAAATGATAATAAAATGCAATCTAAACTTCTGCTGATGGAAACCCCAGGGACTTGTCCTGCTTTAAAAGAGAAAAGGAAAGAAGCCATAAAACCACCAAGGGCCTATAATCAAGGCCAGAGAGGATAACAAGACTCTAGATCTAGTGGAAGTGCTATCTTCCTATATTCTTCTTTTTTTTTTTTTGGTACCAGGGATTGAACTCAGGGCTCTCGACCACTGAGCCACATCCCCAGCCCTATTTTGTGTTTTATTTAGAGACAGGGTCTCACTGAGTTGCTTAGTGCCTTGCTGATGCTGAGGCTGGCTTTGAACTTGCAATCCTCCTACCTCAGCCTCTCAAGCCATAGGGATTACAGGCATGCACCCCCACACCCACCTCTTCCTATATTCTTCTGGGAGCAGCTTATCAGGATTTTCTATAGTGAAATCAGATAATGGAACACCTATAAGATATTGCTTTAATAAAATAACCATCAACACCAAAACAAACCCTTAACTTCATGTGGTGCTCAACAAACACATTATTCATTTTCACCTCAATAGTACTCGTATATAGTATAAATTTTTACCCCCATTTTAAAGTTAAGGAAACTAAAGACACAAAGTCATCCAGTTAATGAGAGGCAGAGTCAATTCCAAGTTCTGTGGTTTTGTACCATGCCTTGTTAGCATTTTTATCTTCATCCATCTTGGTACCTATTTTTTACCAGATTAGAAAAAAAGGGTTGAATGTGCTTTCACAACATGAACTTGGCCCCCAAGAATTCTTAATCTCCCCTTTGCTTGTTTCGATTGGTTGCATTCATTCTGTAAGTCTCCATAAGAAATTCTTGCTGATAGTTGCATTAAACAAATATTTTTCAGCAAATAAATCAATCTGGCCAGACCTCTCTCATTAATCTTTCATGAATAATGAATGAAAAGACTCAAACTCATAAAAATTTTATAAGGATAGAGATTCCTTTTCCAGTTGCTGAAAAAGGTTTTAGAATTGACTCAGGAATGTTTTTACTCAGTGGACCTGTGAAATTATTTCTGGAACTGTCCAGTTTTTGCTTTCCAACCAATCAAATGGTGATTGGATATTCTAGATGGGAAACTCACAGGCAAGACCTTCAGTGCTGGAATCATCACCTTTCACACATATTCTGATATTTCCATGCAACTAAATGTTTTTGAAGTTATTATTAAGCATCATTTTCCTTCTTTTTTCCTCTCTCCTCTACTGGAAGCATACTTTCCACTTCCTTGTGAGGCATGAAAGTTTTCACCTCTCTCAGAATTTCAACAGGAAGCAACTATGACACAAATGAAATTACTTCATACAGTGTCACTCATCAAACCAGTGGAAGATCCAGGGATTTACCATACACTGCCCTAGCTAAGCCTTTCTCCAAGACCAACACACTAACCACCACCACATGGACCGGGCAGTGCTCATGAGAGCAGCAGCACTTAGGGATGAAGTAAGAGAAATTCTTGTTTCCCTGATAACTGAAGAATCAGTAGTTTTATTTTCAAAACCCAAGGAAGACTGAGGTACTGATTTTTAGAAGAAGGTGGATTTACTGATGAAGGCATTAATAACATTCCTGGATTTGTTAAAAAGGTATGTTCTGTATTGTGTGCATGTATGAATATATAACAATGAATCTCATCACTATGTACAACTATAATGGACCAATAAAAAACATGGAAAGAATTTAAATTAGATTTCTACACATGCAGTCCTTAGCCTTCTTTTTTGCAATGATTTTATAGTCTTGACCTTGGTTAATTAATTCTTTATGATACCACCTTACAAAGGCATAAGAATTTCTACTTGATGTGGAAATAAAACAAAAATTTTAATGTAGATACAATGTCTTCTTTCAAAATGCACATTCACAAATGTAATATAAATGAAAAATTACTTGCCCTAGAAAATTTCCCTGAGCTACTCAGTTTAAAGATAGCACCTTTCAATATTTGAACTAAATGAACTTACATAGTTTTACCAGGAATGATAGACTTTCTCTAGCAAAGGAATCATAAATCATATACTCTGAGATATAAGGAAGTCAGACGTCACTAAGCACAACAGTTTCATTTTAAAAATGAGAAGATGCTAAAGTTAAGACTCACAAAGTCTTACAGATGTTTAACCACAGGCCTGGGTCTTGATTCCTGACTCCTATAAATTCTTTGAGATGGATGATACTTAACTTGCTGGTATCAAAACCAAAGGTATTAAAAATCAGAATGTATAATACAAAGAAGCTGTTTCTGCTTTTAATATTTTAGATCATAAATTCTTAACTTGTGACTCACCCTGCTGAGTTGATCCAATAACCTTTGGTTCTGCTCTGATAGCTCCTGAACAGCCCGTGTTTTTTCTCGATCTGCTTCCCGAAGATGAACTTGTTGCCTCTCCAACTCATCCTGTAGCTGTTTCACATCACTCTCCAGCTCTGACACTCGTCCTTCCCACTCCCCTTCTCGGTTCTCAAACCGTCTTCTCAGTTCATGTTTCTCTTGTTCTAAGTGCTAGATGAAAAGCAAAAAAGGATTAAAAACTTAAAAAAATCCCAGTCTTTTTCGTCTTTTCATATTCTTAACTTTTCCTCTCCCAGTCAGTGAGGACACCAAATCACCTGCCACGGAGGATTAGTTGCCCAATTCACAGCTACATAAATACTCCCTTCCTTCAGAGCAAGGGAGGAGCTGGCTTCACAGGGGAAACATCATTTGTATTAGAAATACTTAAAGTTTACTTTCCTTGGCATTCGGTTCTAGACTTGGGAATTCACTTGGGATTCAACAAGTCAACTCATGATTTGGTGAACTGTATATTTAAACGACTAAAAATGAGTCCTATAACAACATATTCATAGTTTTACCAGGGATGATAGACTTTCTCTTTTGCTTTTGGGGGTGCTGGAGGTAATCAGGAATTGAACTCAGGGCCCCTTGACACTTGGCCACATCCCCAGCCCTACTTTGTATTTTATTTAGAGACAGGGTCTCACTGAGTTGCATAGCATCTCACTTCTGCTAAAGCTAGCTTTGAACTCTCAATCCTCCTGCCTCAGCCTCTCAAGCCGCTGGGATCACAGGTATGATTTACCATGCCCAACCACTCATTGCTTTTCAAAGGGGTCTTCTTGGGAACCATTTATTATGCATGCCTTAATATCAGACCCTTACAACTGCAGAATTTTCAAAGATGCTTCAGATTAATCATTTCTTCTTACAAATAAGGCAACAGAGGCAGTTAAGTGACTAGTTCAAGGTCAGTACTAGTAAATAGCAGGGCTGGGATTTGTGTCCAAGTCACATGACTAGTGCTCTAAATTATAGCTTAATAAATATATGTTCTTTATTTTATGTATTTCTGTATTGTTATATATTTCAAAGTCATTAAGACAAGTTCAGATTCAGGTCTACTTTAAATTGTGGCCTATTAATAAGCCTTGCATATTTATTTCTGGTCCATTCATCCATTCTTGAGAGCTATGTTCCTGGGGACATGGTGATGAACAAAACAGACAAGCTTCTTGCCTTTATGGAGTTTTAATTCCAATGGGAGAGACTGAAGAAGTAATAAACTGTGTGTGATAAAGGGTGTGCAGGAAAAGTACAGATAGTTTAAGTAGCAACTCAATAAAAAAGATCCCTGTGGATTGCAGGAAATATTTTGTTTCTGTGAGACAAATACGGATACCTCTTTTCAGACACAAGTATATTCTCCTACTTAAAAAGCATGTTATGTACAATAAAAGAGTGCATACTTCAAGCAAGTTAAAGTAAGAACCCTCACCTTTTGGTGCTCTCAGAAAAGTTCTAATGATTGTTCAAAATATATCACACCAGGGCTTGGGATATAGTTCAGTTGGTACAGTGCCTGCCTTGCATGCACAAGGCCCTGGGTTCAATCCCCAACAACACACACACACAAATATATATGTGTATGTATGTGTGTGTGTGTATACACACACACACACACACACCCCACACCACATCCCCACTCCCAAGATTGTAATTCAGCTGGGAATGAAATGAGGTCTAGACATCTATGTATGAATATAAACACAGGCACATGTATTTGATTTTTACAGGAAATTCTGCTGCCCTGAGCTGTTGTGCTCTTTCAACCTAAAATGAGCACATGCATTCTCCTCTAGAGTACTCAGTCATCTCTTCTTAGACAGCTACACTCTTACTTGATTGAAGTTCTCAGCTTTCAAAATATTTTTGGAATGCTTCTTTTGGGAAGCCTCAGGGATAGCTTATCCTCATGTAAGAAAATCATTCCCATTGTTTTACATATGAGGTCTGTCTAAAAATGAAATTATCCCTTTTCACCCTGCTATCTAATTCCCCTTACTTTGCTCTGAGTGATTTATGAATGTTTCTGAAAGTCAAATTTACCCCCTCCCAGAGGAAAATGTGCTACAATTGAGGGCAGCGAAAAGAATATGTTGAAAGATAAAAACAGCAATCCAAAATTAAAATTCTGAGCCCATTAGCAAAGATTTTTCTCTGAGAGCTTCCAAGATAACTACTTTAAGGACACCACTTGTTTGGTTACTGCTGGTATATTTGTTGAAAAAGTCACATCACTTAACTTTTATACATAATACAATCTCAGATTGGAGCATGTGGAAAAAGGAACAAGGCATGGACTTCTACTCACCAGCTTGAGAAGTTTTTGCTCTGTGTTTCCCTGACACTGCTAAACTTACAAAACTGAGAATGATTTAGTCAATACAGAAATTTCATAAAGATAGAATGCAGAAAAAATGCTAATTGCAATACTAAAACTGTGATACTTGGTTTATTGAATTTTTCCAAAATAAAAGACCGAGCAGAAGGCAACAGCAAGAACTCAGTAATCAGTGTTACTGAGAGGCCAGATAAATTAGGCTTGTGTTCTAAAAGAACAGAGAGACTTAAAAATATTCAGCAAACAGCTGCTAGAGAACAGCCCAACCAAGCAACTAAAACAATCCAATCCACGTGGGGGGAGGGGCTGAGGACAGGTGGTGCTGATCAGTCTAATCTGTCCTTTAACAGGAGACAAACTCCCTATTTCTTCGGGAATTATATATTTAAGTGCTAAATTAGCCAGAAAATTCTAAGCAGAATGTTGGAAAGCATAGATATCAGGGTCACCTATGCTCTCCCCTTTTTTCAGGGTTATATAGTATTTTAAAAGTTAATATCAAAATTGTCAAGTTCATCAAAATAAGGAAAGTCCAAGAAACTGTCACAGCTAAGGAGAGCCTAAGGAAACAAAACTAAATATAATATGGGACCCTGGATGGGATCCTCGAATGCCTAAGGAGACAAAATCCAAATGTAATGTGGTATCCTATATCAGAAAAAGACATTAGACAAAGGCTAAGGAAATCAGAATACAGTAAGGACTTCAGGGGTATCATGAATTGTGGTAAATGTATCATACTATTGTTAGCAAGAGGAAACTGGATGCAGAGTACATGGAAACTCTCTGTACTTTCTTTCCAATTTTCCCATAAATCTAAAACCAACTGTTCTAACAGTCTACTTAAAACTCCCCAAAACCAAAAATATCATTAGCATACATAAAATACCTCTTTACCAAAATATCTCTGAAAAAATTAAAAAGGAGTAAGAAAAAAAGTGTCACTATGATCATAAATCCAGGACATGGTTCTTGAAAAATACAAAGAGAAAGAATTGGTCTCTAAGAAGAGCAAGCACTGAGTGCAAATCAGTACCCTGAGGTTTGCGCCTCTAGATCTGGTAGTGACTCCCAGATACACATTTTCAACCCTCTTCCCCTTAAAAAACCAAAAAACAACTATAATCATAAGAATTGGCTGAGAGTGGAGGAAGGAAAATATAACTGAAGGAAGAGACTACCTCTGTGGTAAGGGATGATCCACTCTCAGCCATAAGAGAAAAAAATTGGGTACTGTACAACAACAAATATTTTAATCCCTAAAGAATACAAGTATAGAAATACAAGTTAGTTTCTTAGTTCATATTCTGGGGAAAAAATTAAGGACTTGGTTAGATATGTTTTTAAGATCAAAGGGGCTTATAGATGCAGTAGAAACAAAAAGTCTTTAGAACTTTATTAAAGCATATGAAAATCTGATTCCATGAAAGAATATAGTCTTGTTGATTTGAGGATGAGAAAAATGGCCAAAACCTAACAGTTTTTCTAGTTAACTTGAACTTTCATTTTAAGAGAGACGTACAGCTAAACAACTTCTATGTTAACCTTTAAACCATTAAAGATTTTAAACAGTATACCTTTAATTAGAGAAATGTAGGCTCAGGTATATTTGAAATGAAACAAAATCTTGGGTTTGGCACAGAACTGGAGAGTTACTCTATGAATTCATGAATAAGTAGGAAAAATCTTGAAAATGGATTGTTTGGCGCTGGGGCTGTAGCTCACTGGTAGAGTGCCTGCCTCATACGAGTGAGACACTGGGCTTGATTCTCAGCACCACATAGAAATAATTTAAAACTAAATAAATAAATAAATTTTTTTAAAAAAGGCTTATTTGTCCTGAGGGCTTTTTTTTTTGGGGGGGGGGGGTTTACTAGAGATTGAACCCAGGGCGCTTACCCACTGAACCAAAACCATAGCCATTTTTGATATTTTATTTTGAAACAGTCTGGAAAAGTTACATAGGGCCTCATCAAGTTTCTGAGGCTGGCTTTGAACTTGTGATCCTCTTTGCCTCAGCCTCCAAAGCCTTCCTGCCACTATATCTGGCAGAAAGGTGCCAATTCTGAAGTAGCAAGGAAACAGATGGCACTAAAATAAAACCCATCTAGGGGCTGGGGTTGTGGCTCCGTGTTAGAGCTCTTACCTAGCATGTGTGAGGCACTGGGTTCAATTCTCAGCACCACAAAAAAATAAAGGTCCATTAACAGCTAAAAAATATTTTTTAAAAAATAAAATAAAACCCATCTAAGAGTAAACTACCATTCTGTGAGTCCACTCATTTTTTGTTGTTGTTTTTGAGATGGGGTTTCAATTGTTGCTGTACAAGCAGCCTGGAACTCATCTTCCTGCTTCAGCCTCCCTAATAGCTAGTAGCATAAGTGTGTGCCCTCATGCCCAGTCTCCACTCAAATATATCTTTCAAACCAACCTGTGAGAAAATGTGTTTGACTCCAATATATGAATTTTGGGAAAATCACAAATCCTTCTTAAAGAAAGGGCTCTTTCTTTACTCCCAAATGTTTAATTTGATTGAAAACACAGTAACTGTGTTTTCAAAAACTATACCGTGGAGAAAACTCATTTGAAAACTCATTTGCAGTTATCAAATGAAACAGTCCAATGTAAATTCCAGAGTAGCAAAACTGATTAACATTAAAAGAATTAACAAGGGCTGGGAGTATGGTTCAGTGTAGAGAGCTTGTGAGTCCCAAACACAGCACCATGTGCACACACATACAAAAAAAAAAAAAGCAACTAATGGCAATATTTTTAAATGTTAATATGTTTTTAAATGTTAACATATTTTAAATGATTTTTAAAACATTCACTAAAAAATTAGAGCTGGGTGCAGTGCTGCACACTTGTAGGTCTGGCTATACAGAAGGCTGAGGAAGAAGAATTGCTCAAGTCCAGGAGCAATTCCAGCATGGGCAACACTGCAAAACCCTATTTCAAAAAACAAAAAAAACTTAGAATACTTTCATAATTTCAACTATATCTAGAAGAACTAACATAAATAAACTTGAAAACTTTTAATTTGGTTATTTTAAAATTGTGGTAAAATATACAATTTACCATTTTACCCATTTTTAAGCATATAATTGTGTTAAGTACATTCATGACATTTTGCACCAATGTCCAAAATCTAAAAAAAATTTTATCACTACTGTTCATATGCTGACTCGCAGAAGAGTAAAGACCTTAAATAATAGTTTGAGAGATTAAAACGTTTTTATTTTTGCCCATCAAACCAATTACAAAATATCAAAGGTAATTTGTTCTTGTACAATAACACTTTTTGTTGGCGTGGAATTTTGAAATCTTTTTCCTTTTGAAGAAACGTATAAAGATTCCACATGGAAAACAGGATGTAATTGTACACTCAGGATTACTATGAAATCTATCACTAATCAAACTGATACGATGTTCCTTTCAAGTCAGCTGTCTCTTCAATCAAGTTATCTCACTGAAGGAATTTCAAATCTCAAGTATAAATCTCAGCAGTAGTACTTCTTTACAGTCTCGAGTAACTGAATCTCTTTAGGGAAAAGAAGACACCCTTTTATTTCTACACCTCTACTTCAAGTGAAATCAAACAATTCAATTCATTAGGTTGCTTTTTGGCAGTCTCCACATAGCTTTCACAAACAACTTTTCAGAGATGAATCTTGAGTTCATAACAGGCAGACCCAGTTAACAGGCCAGCTGAACCACAGGGCACGCACTAGTTTCCTTTTTTCCCCGATTTTACTTTTGATATGCCTCTGGACTAGACACAGAAAAATCTTATTATAGAAATGTTTCTGATTCCACCAACTGTTCAACCAGTAGCAGTGATGTACATGAAACCCAACTAGGGTCAATTTCAGACCTTATTTGGGTCTGTACTTTTTTTTTTTTTTCCCTCTCTCTGGTAAATAAAGAAAGAACTGGCAGCAATCAGTAACTGAGTAACAATAGCAAATGCAGTCAGAAAAGAAAAAGCTTGCCTCCACTATTGTAGATGACAACCCCTCTCCATTTTTTTTTTTTGCAAATGTAATTTTCAGAAATGCTAATATTTGCCAAAGCTAATATTTGTATTTCATCTAAGGCTCTTTTCTGGTTAAGAATAAGAAAACAAACAAGCATAGTTCTTAAAGACTTTGGTCTAGGAAACTCAAAAACATTACAGATACTTTAAAAGATATTTATTTATAAAAGTTACAAGTAATACAGTTCTCATAGGTTGCACCTGGCATACAACTGCAAGCCTGAGACCTAGACCACAGAAAAGTATGGCTTTTTACAAATAAATATTGAGGCCCAAATTAAATCCACTACCAGCAGTCACATGTTGAACCCCTTGCCTGGTTTCTGCAATGGAACCACATTTCCTAATCCCCAAGAATTTGAAGGCTATATAAAGCTTCTGTATGGGCACTTGTTTCTCATAACTTTGACCTGCCAGGAAGTTAAGACAAGGGCATCTGGAGACCTTAATGCCCAAACTGGAAAGCTTTAGGCTAACACCCCGATTAGAGATTAACTACTTCCCTGAAAACCTGGAGCATATCTTAAATGCTTACCGACTCTCATTTCTCTGTGTGCAGACATCGTCTCAGTGCTGTATAAATTAGTCATACTGTAAGCTCTATTTTAGATACTGTATACTGTACATATATAGAACGGCAGTGAAGCCATGCACGGACCCATTTGCCGTGAGCGGGCTGGGAAAGTCAGGTTGGTTCAATGAATATCCTGAATTAATAATTAGAAACCCTCTATCCTACCTCCTGTACCAGATTATTTTCTTTGAGGTGGCGTAAGCAATGGAAGGGGAGAGAGTGAGTGGCTCCCCAAACTGCCTAGAACTAGGGGTACCTAGGTACCTGGCCTGCTCCTACTTCCCACCCATTCAGAGAGATCCTCACCTCCAGCTTGTCCGTCAGCTCCTTGTGCATCTGCTCATACTGCCGGCTCATGTCCTGGTTCCTCTCGAGCAGTGCCTTGCCCAGACGAGCCGCCAACACCAGATCCTTCTCCTTCTGCCGTATCACCGACAGCAGCTCAGGGTCCTGGGCAAGCGGCGGCTGTGGTCCGGCCCCCTCGGCCGGAGGCCCGGGCTCGGCCTGAGGATGCTCCCCGGGCTCGGAGGGCCGCTCCCCGGTCGCCA